TAGTTTTTAGACATAAGTTGTAACGGCCACCATTTTCTTTCAAAGTTTGAGTCTAAGGTTTATTTTTTAGCACCTGACGGCTCTTTTTTTTCTTCTCATTTGTAAACTCTTGCATACTCTTTAACGTGATTCAGTTTATTTTGAAAAGTCTCAACAGGATCTTGAGCTTTATTGTGAAAGGTTTACGTGGAAAACAAACAAGTGGACGTAAAAACAGGCGCTTGTCCGTCCGTAGTGTGGTCATATTAAATATAAGAGAAAGAGAGAACTTTAAGAAATTAATATAGTCACTACAGTGACCATCAAAACGATGAAAAAATATTGCTGTAAACAGTTTATTTTACGACACCACAAAACAAACGATAGCGTAATAGGAAATGATAGACATTTTTATACCGTCATCCGATATATATCGTTATATCAAACCGCCCTAACAGAGGTCATATGAGTCAATGGCCTGCAGGAACATATCCAAAGGGGACAATCAACCATTAGTATTGAAATACCTGGGACACCAATTTGTTTTTGTAGCTGAAGAAGCCTCTTGGATGACAAGGGAAAAACTTCTTTACAAACCTAAAGATGTCCAGTCGCCTCCTTGTGTTCAAGCTTTCAAGGCTACCATGAGCTAGAAGACTGAGAACCTGCTAGTTTATTTGACTGACACCTCTTCTCCTACCCTGCACAAACCAAACCAGGGGAGAGAGGTGGGAACTAGAGTGTCTTCAAAAAAATACAACAAACACTTAACCTTTGAGATGTAGAGTCACAAAACATTTCAGGCCGCCTTCACATGCAGACTAAGAGTGTGACAGATGTGATACAATGAAGAGAGTGGCGAAACCTTGACCTTTAAAGGCAGAGAACAGCACAGCGTGTGAAGATCAACATGAGCTGAGTGTATCAAAGGTTTACAGTTAACTAACAGTTCACTGAACATCAGCTGTGTGTGATGACACTTGGCAAAATGATCACCCTGCAGCATTGTTGGCACGTCACACAAACACGGACACACACCTGCATTGACCCCAGGCAGCAGTACAACAGCTCAGATGGGCCGAACACTGAAAGCGCTACCACCCAAAGCTGACACACAATAGCAGAGTCTGCCCACATTAAAGGACAATAACACTGCTTTATTTATGCTCTGTCACTCTCATTCAGTCTGATGCTGTGTTCAGAGTGCGGAGCCTCAACTCTGACAGGAGCCACACGCACTCACAGGTCCTTCTGTCTTTGTGAGGACACTGATACAATGCGTTACCTACGGCTTCTCTTTAGTTGTCACAACTAATTACAACACCCTAACCCATAAGGACAAGGTTATGGTCTCTCAGAACTAATTTTTCCACGTATTGTGCAAGACGCACAGAATTGTACAACTGTGCACTTGTTTTTTCTCTTTTTTTGTCAAATTCTCATGAGGGTAGAAGAAGCAGAATAAAAAGACAAAATCAAACTGATCTCAAAACATGTACATCTGTCAAATGGCTTCACCCACAATGACAAACAGTAAGAAAGAAATGCACAATGTCTTACTCGTTACCTTCACACAGCATTAAGTGCATCTGAATATCATATAACGATGTTGCTCTGACCAGCAGAGGCATTACTGAGTATAAACAGCACGCTCCTGCTGTCTGTGGCCCCCTCTTTGCCAATATAAAGAATTCTGGATGCAATTTTTACATAACTTAAAACACTATACACTGTATATTTATTGTATTTTAGCATATGAGAGAAAAGGAACCACAGTATCAGGAACCTTTTAGAAATCAAAGCATGCAGCTCAACAGTTGTGATGCAGAATCAGTGAGTGTAAAACTCCATCTGTCTGAAGAAAGTATTTAAAATATGCTAAAATTATGCAGCATCACATTATTCTACTGCATTTATGCAAAAACACAGAGTGTTGTTTAATACCTAGTTAATGGGAATCAAAATGCACTGCTTGCCTGATGTTCATAAAACAGAGGTTTCACTCCCTCAGTCCCTGCTGCAGAAAATGTTCCCATATCGTAAAACAGCAGTGACACCAAGTGTGTCGATGTGTGTACCTGAGGTTTAAGGAGGTGAGCGACTGCAGGCTGATGATGCTGTCTGGGATGGACCTGATGCAGTTGTGGTACAAGTTTAGTGTTTCCAAGGCAACCAGATGGCATACCTCTGAGGGGACGTCGGTTAGTCGGTTTTTTGACAGGTCTGCAAGGGAAACCAAGAAAAACAACGTTTAGAACAATTAAAGGGCACATTATAATAATAAAAGATGCAAAGGTAGAAATTTGAGTAGTAGTTGAATGAAATATTAAACTTTTTAAAAAACAAAAACAAACTTTGACTTTGACATCTGATGCGTTAATTGTAATAAAAATCAAGAATAAGTTGAAAGACAGGTAGCACCACAGACTCATATAAAGGTCTGAAAATGAATCCAATGTGTCCTTTTTATTATGTAAAAATCAGAGGAGTGGCTCTTTAAACAGTCTGACTGGATGGAAGTCTGAGAAAATAGTTTACCTCCTCCATAAACTTGGTAAGCATAGCCCAAGTTGCTAGTTTTAATTGGTTTTCAGTTCGGCGTGAGTACAATAGATGGTGATGCCATGTTTTAAGACATGGCATGCATAGTGACTTGAGGTTCTTAGTCAGTTCCTCCCTAAATTTGTTGTCTAGTTTCAAAGGGCCAAGACTGCGACAGCCCAAGCAGTCCACAAATCAATGGGTGACCTCATAATGCCTCTATCAATTTTTTTATACACTGTAGTTTTCATTAAAAATATGGTAACCTGATTTAACATATACATAACTCATACAGTCCTCAATTTTGATTAAATTCAGTTACTTATTTGATGACAGAAGGATAACCCGGGCTGTGTTTCATTTGCTGTCGGTGTTAAAGTCTCTGTAAAACATTGCTTATAAGGTAATTCAATATATTTCAGTACGATATAAAACTTTGTAATCACTCTCGTCGGAGCTGGACCTACAACAATTTGCTGTAATGCACTATACACCTATTTGCACACCCAACAATAACAAATGCATTAAGATTTCTCGCTCCGTGTATTGTACAACATGCAGATTTTGGACTAAATTCTCTCTTTCCTTGTAACATGGAGCACCACAGACACACCAGCAGAGGACCGTGAATCTGAGGTACAACTGACGTCAGACTCAAGGAACTCAGCCTTTGACATGAGGACTCAGGTCAGCTGCTTAAGCCAGGACTGGTGACATCACTTCCTGTCGTAACTCAGCAACAATAATATCAACTTCAGTTATCAGCAACCCAGTAAGGCCAAGAAATGTCAGTGCAATTATTCCACATTGTTCTGCTGAGGCTGAACTCTGAGCCTCTTGAAAAACACATTTTGTTTTGTTAATGGTGCAAGAACAGCACAAGGGTTCATTTCCTCTGGTGGAAACAATCAGGGAAAAGTCATGTTGTACTTTTGTATTCAGTATTTATAGTCACGGTTTTCAATTAATATCCAGCAAGACTATGAGCAGAGACCTCGTTGCTATTTTTTTGTTATATCCAGAGTTATGGAACAAGAGAGGTACTGCCTAAAAACCCAGGAGTAATCCGGAATTCTTTTATTTGATATTAAACAGACCAAAGCAACAAATCACCCCCAGCAGTTGTGTTTTTTATTTGTAGAGGGAGCTGAATTGGTTGCAGAAAGTGACAGTAAGCATCTATGTGGGAAAAACTCAGCTTCAATATGAAAGAATACAAACTGAATACAAATGTGTGTCCACAAGAATGAGTGCAGAGAGTTGCCAATTTAAAAAATGCTGTTGCACCAGACGCCGACTCTGCCTTAATAAGTGACCAATGAGAGAATAAAGTCTGAATGCAGTCTCTTTTCTGCCTGTGGATGTTTCTTTTGTCTTTTGTCACAGCAGATGGCTGCCCCTCCCTGATACTGGTTCTTCCTGTTAAAGGGAGTTTTTCCTTCCCACTGTCACCAAGTGCTTGCACACAGGGGGGTCTCTTGATTGTTAGGGTCTTCTCCAGAATAATGTAGGGCCTTTACCTTACAATATAAAGTACCTTGTTGTGATATAAATAATCCAGAAATGTACTGAACTGCCAGCACATTATTCAACAATATCATGTTTCAAAGGCTTAGCTAAGCTTATATTCAGTCACAGTGTAAAGAAAATGTCACATCACATATAATATAGCTAATATAGCAATTAGCTTCTGCCAATGCCATGCTAATGTTGCTAAGATGGTGTGGGCCATTTTTCAACCAGTGACAGCTGGGATAGGCTCCACCTCCTCCAACCCTAAGCTGGAAGACCAGGTAAGAAATATGCAGAAAAATGCAGTGACAAAACCATGACCTTCACACAAATTCTGTCCCTTGATTTAACTATGATGACACACAGGAACAGATATATATATTTTTCCATCATAAAAATGTCTACAAAAATAAATGACAATGAAAATAGGGCACCTTTACTGAATGTGTTTTGTAAGCTGATGAATAGTACAGTTTAGTGTTTCACAAACACCAAACTGTACAAACAGCTCCTCTGAGGCACAAGAGTAGCAGGCTTTCATCAATTTAAAAAACAAAGAGAAAAAAAGAAAATCACAGCTGCATCTGGGCATCAGCCACACATAGAACGCATTGCATCATGGATCACACATTAACAGGAAGTGCTATTTAAAACACTGAATGAGAAACAAAGAGCCCGCCGGTCCTGCTTTCATCCGGCGAGCAAATGGCAGCAAGCTGACTCAACTCACAACAACACAAAGCTATTACTGGCAGGGTGTATGTGTGAGTGTGAGCGTAAGGTGCGTTCAACACCGTTAATGTTCTTATTAATTTCCAAAACAACACTGTGGAAACTGTAATGCGTTCAAAGCTGCAGTGACCTACTATAAACCACGAGACACACAGGGACAGATTAAGGACATGTCGATCCTACAGACACACATCTGTCAAGATACATTGGACTGTATCTATATGTGAGGCCATGTACAGTGACACAAGTGATGATGCAGGCCTCAGGACATTTAGCCCATGACATACATAGATCTTCTTTTCACTCATATCAGCAATACCAGCGCTCAGGCCTGTGTTACATAGACGCACCTGTGACCGTTTCTGAAGTTTCGTGTTTTGTTGATGGCACCTGTTAAAACCCTACACTTGGATGGATGGACTTGGCACTATGGCAACAACCTATTTTAGGGATGCAGCGAATTGTTGTTTGGATTGGGCATCTGTGCAATATGAAAAGTGAAAAGGCAGCATCCAGTATCACTGACAATGGGCTTATTTCTGGGGATGATCCATCCAGTTCATTCAATTGACTTTACAAAGTTCATGACTGATATTTAAGGAGCCACTGTGTGACTAAGTGTGATTAGAGTTTTTCTACTGTAGATACCCTTTTTAAGAAAAGAAAATAAAGCAAATAAGTTTCAAACTTCAGCTGCAGTTATTACTTGCGTTTTGATGTAAGAAGAAAGAAAATGTTAAACATGGTAACTCAGGTATGATGTGAACGTAGCTTGAGGCTACAACTAAACCAGTAAGGCGGTGTAAAGGCGAAACCTGCTGTTTAAATGAGGTCCTTTTCAGCCATACTTCTTTTTTTAAGCCCTCTGACATCAATTTTCCCACACTTTTGTATGTTGCATTTTATTCAAGGTTTAATGCCTAATGAACCATTTAAAACAATCTCCATCCCGAGGCCTGTTCTCCCCTGCTAAACAATAACAAGGTACTCCCAATCTACTGCAAATTTAAGCTCTGGATTAGTTTCACAAGAACCCATTACAGAGCCATTAGATAGTTAATCTTGTTTACGGGGGTATTCCTAAAAGCTACAAGTCTCCATGCTGTAAATACAAAACGCACACACACGCCACACCCTGAGAAGCAGGCGTGGGGCTTCCTGTGTTAATAACAACAGTCTCCCTCTCATATGAAAAAGGAAATGACCTATTGCTGCCACTGTGTGACCTCTGACTTAAGAAGAAGAAAGAGAAGAAGCCTGCTGCAGGAACACAATGACTTTACTTCGCCTAAACCTGATTCAGCATCTTTTTAAGATGTGAAACAACACATGTGTATTTTTCTCCCATTCCCATTCACAGTCAATCCAACTCAGACATCTAGGACAACGTGCGGGATTATAAACATTGCAATTAGATGAAATTCAACTGTGAAAACTGATACTTTATCTCTTGAGCTTCCTCGTTTATACCCCACAATTTGTTAGAGCCAGACTTCAACTACACTGCTGCTGGTGTGAGGAGGGAAACCACTGATTAATGAATGAATGTGTATAAACCAGTCAGCGGTACCAGGAGACTAATCATTTACTGGGCAGTTGTTTAGTTTGCTACTACCCCTTGCCTCAATTCTTTGCAACAGATTCAAGATCAGGTTCAACAAGGTGCTGGAAAAATCTTCAGAGATTTCACACAGTTACTGTAGATCCTGTTGGCTGCACATCCACAATGCACTATGCTCTATTGGACTGAGATCTGGTGACTGTGGAGGCGATTTACATACAGTGAACTCATTGTCAGGTTCAAGAAACCAGTTTGAGGTGATTTGAGCCTTGTGGCATGCTGTATTATCCCGCTGGAGTCTCTGTAAACCCTAGAGATGGCTGTGCAGGAAAATCACAGTTAGTTTCTGAAATACTCACCAATACGCACCAGCAAAGATACCAGATTAAAAGTCAATTAGCCCGTCTTCTCCACTTAGTTTGACATTCAGCAAGTCGTCTCGATTTGGCATCTGCGTTAACGAACAGTAAATCAGGTGTACCTAATGACCTCTAGTCCACTAAAGTTAACGTAACAGTTACACCTTTTTTTCCCTTAAAAAGAAAAAAAACTTTGAAAAACAAAACTGATCCTTCACAATAAAAAAATAATTCAACAACAACTGTGGGATAAAGACAGCACAGAGATAATAAAGAAGGTGGGTTTTGTATTTTTTTAACAAAATGTTTCCTGTGCAGATGTTTCCTATTAAAAGCCTTTTAATCCATCTGAAGGAAGTTTTATTGACTTGCGTCAGCACAGTAGACTGGACATAACTGCAGCAACGTGTTACATTACTGTGCAGTCTTTGAGGATACAATTTCATGTAATTCAGTTTTACTGAGTCAAGACACATCAGAGCAGTTTATTTAGTACAGTCAACACAACACTGTGTAGA